CCTCTCCGCCTCTTACGGAATACCGCGGTACGGTATACGGTACGGTACAGACAATCACGGCTGTGGATTAATCGAGCCTTGAGAGTCGGTCTGGGGCGGGGGTGCCATCTCCCCGCTTCCTACGGTGCCGCACTCCAGTGACAACGCCCAAAGATAAATACGACTCGGGCGGTGGCGGTGGTGGACGTACGTAAAAACAAGCGGTCCCAACCTTGCGATACTTGTGGAGATGGGGGTTGGATTGGACACCTCTGGAAAAGACTGCACTAATAGTCAATGGACCATAGATAGACCCACACCTATGTGCCGTTGGTTGCATGCCGTGTACTACACAAGAAAACACACCCCCCGGATCGATTTTCAAAGCTTGACAACTCCATTATGAAGAGGATGCCGATATCAAATGGTTACGTGTTCGGGAAGCTCTCGATGGAACGGTTCCAACACCGCCAGCTCGACACCGCCACTGGTTCTGCTGTTGAGTAATCGAGCTTTGACCATCGGTCCAGGGGGTGTGATATCTTATGCAACGTGCGGTACCTCCCGGCACAGGCATGGCGATTGTTGTTGTGGCTTGTGTCTTTGCCGTAAAAACCGTTCCGGTCTCTGTATGAAGGCGCGTAAAAGCCGGCGCAGCTGCTGTGCTGGACAATTTTCTCCCGCTATCCGAATGACGGAAACTGCACTGTTTTTCCACTGCATCACACCACGCACCACACTCGAATCTCGCAGGAAGGCAGGCGGTAGATGACGTAAGATATCACTCACCCTCTTACTCGAGGACGAAGAGGACGTTTACTCCATCAGACGATATGCATACGCTTTCGAAAAGCTCTGGGCGAGACGGTTCCAACGCTGCCATTTTGTCCGGCATCGAAATGTAATCGAGCTTTGAAATCAGCCCAGGGGATGAGCTATCTTCTACATACCAGAGGTAAGAGGCAGCCTCAGCAAGGGCCATCCTGTTGTGTGTACTTTGGAGTGGCCGCAAAAGGGGGTATTTTTAATGTAAGAACAAGTGGTGCAAGGGTGCACTGCTGTTGTCCAAGCTCTCATTCGATAATGAGCAACAGCTGATGTACGGTCTACAGTAAGCGCCCCTACCCCTGCGCTCGCTTCTCTCTACCAAGTATCAAAGCTTGATTCTTCTGCGGACGATCCTCGAACCAACCACGCGTACCTGCCACCATCGCCCATGACAATCTTCTGCCCTTCCCTCTCCTCGTCGTCTGCCTCGTGCATCCGGAACTCAACCGCGCCCATGTCTCCAGGGACAGTCTGGTTGGCGAACGACACCAGTATCGGGCCCGCGGAGCCCTCCGCAGCACGGTGCAGCACCACCTCTCTGCTGCTCGGCGCTCGCTTCACACCACCAGCACCAGCACCGACAACACCTCCCGCCGCGAGGCCCTCTTCTCTTCGCCTCTTCTTTGACTTCTTGCCGGATCTCCCCGCACCAGGGTCATCGCCCGGCGCCATCGATGCTCTCTTTCTTCCCATCGCCAGAGATGTCCTCGGTTCGCTCGTTGGCCGCACGCGGCTGTGTCTCCTACTGCCGCCGCATACATGCTTGCGCCCCGCGACGGCTACCGATTTTTTATACCCCCCTCAAAAACGGTTCTTGAATCCACGTACCCCCGGCCGCGGGTCTGCGCCACGGGAGCTGCCCGTGAGTGCAGGTGTGCAATTCGCGTCTGCTGCGTGCCAAGATGACCGACTGCCGAAGATTCCTAGGCTCTGCCGCTGCCGTCGTGATGCTGTCACGCGGCGCGCACTGTTTCGTAGCGCACGGTTCGTTGGGCTGCTTCAGCTCCCGTCATGTGGCTGCCTCGGGGCCTCACCATCACTGGAAATCCACCGCCAGTGTCTGCGGCAGCGACGGCCGACAGCAGAGCCAGGGTGCCCATGCGATGACGGCAAGAGGTGAGCCGTGGTAGTGGTGTGGATCTCTAGCGGTGCTTGGTGTGCGCTGTGGAGTTGCGAAGCTACTCGAACCTTTGGGAAACATGAACAATGATCCACCCCCTCTCGGAGGGCGGCAGGCACTCCGTTGCAAACCGGTGTGCATGAGGTGCATGTGGGGGCAGTTGGGTAACCTCTCTGCTATTAATCCTGATGTAGTCCTGGGAGCACGAGCAGTACACTTGTTCCATGGTACGGATTGGGGTAATGTCTTTGTGGCGACTCAAACACATGCATCCACGACACATCTTCCGAAGGAATGGATATATGACGGAAGACATCATACCCCCTGTGGACCGACCTTCTACGCTGCGTCACTACACGTTGTACCCAAACTTTTGCCACAATTATTGTACTTCCAGCTTTGCGATTTCATGTACAGAGCAGAAAAATGGCGGGGATGAAAATGACGGCGTTGGAACCGTCTTGTCGAGAGCTTTCCGAAAATGTCTCGTTTGACTACCAAGACATGGTCTTCGTCGTGGAGTAAAATCTTTGAATGTCGGTCCAGGGGGTGTGGTATCTTACATCATGTCACGTGCGGCTTTTAAAGCAGCATTAGCCCCTCATGGCGGTAAAGCGTGAACTTGCACCAACAACAGCCGTGACGGTGGAAAAAAATGGCGGCATTGGAATAATCTCGTCAAGAGTTTTCCGAGAAGCGTCATTTTGGTTTTGGCGCGCTCTTCGTCGTGCAGTTGTCGAGCTTTGGAATTCGGTCCAGGAGGTGTGATATCTTGTGCAACCTACGGCAGTAGGCAGAAGGGAAGGAATAGTTGCAAACAAACCGAGGGATCGATAGCGCCATTAATGTTGTTCTTGCTGCTGGCAAGCTACTTATTTCCATCTCCTCTTGCTGACAATCTGGTGTTTCGTTGCCATCCGCCTGCTTCTCTCGCTGGCAGGCGTAGACGAGGCAGCAGCAGCGTCGTCGTCAGGGGGGGCGATGGACAGGAAACAGCTTCTGTCCAAGGTATGCACGTGCAGCCACAGCGTTGGTTCTATGCCTCCACTCACCGGCTGCTCATGCCGGAGGTTGCGCAAGGTAGCACCCCCCCTGGGTCGATTTTGAAAGCTCGACTATGTCACCACGGCGAGTAATGATGCCAAATCAATGCGGCGCGTTTTTCGGAAAAGCTGTCGACGGGACGGCTCCAACGCCGCCGTCATTTTCCGGCTCCGTCGCCGGTGTTTTCACTGCTGCAGAGCACGGAGTACTCGACCTTTGAAAAGTCGGTCCGGGGTGTGTGATATCCTCTGCAACGTAAGGCACTCTTCGTTTTTGCCCGGCCTATCACGCTTCCACGTTCTTCAAACCTTGGCCGCCTACTGTTGCACTAGTGCGATGTCCAGCTACTGCGGATGCTGTGTAGCCTTCAACTATGCACGGACATGACAAAAGGGCTCTTGTTTCGTGCTTGCTATTTCTGTGTCTTCCGGTAGACATGGCTCAAGAACTTCTCATACATGCATAGTAGCACTTTTCCGATCATACCTAGACTGCTATTGGTTTCATGTGTCGGTGCGTGTCCCGATTCTCGCTCTGAATCTTTCGGTTGTTGCGTTCTGCCGAAAATGCGGGAAGGTGTGGAAGGCTGCTCTCTCCCTCTCGGCGTTGGGCGCGGCGGCGGTGGCCACGGGAGGTGCCGCACCTGCTGAAGCAGGCAAGTCAGTGACTCCACACAGCGGATCGCATAACCAACAGGGACTAACGATATCGTATAGGTTGCGTCGTGGGTGATTTAGGGTTCGAGTTCCTGTATTTCCGTAACAATCGAATCCTTGCCTTCGTGCCTGTGTAGGTGATTGGGTAGTGCGGCCCTCCGCGTTGTTTGCTGAAATTTTCCCTGTCTCTCTCTGATTTTTTTACACACGCGTCTGCTTGTCGTTCGATCTCTCTATATCTCTCTACATCCTCTCTGTCTGTCTGTCGTTCTCTATCTGTCTCTATCTTTCTCGCGCTCTCTCTCTCTATATATATATGTCTATCTATCTATCTATCTATCTATCTATCTATCTATCTATCTATCTATCTATCTATCTATCTATCTATCTATCTATCTATCTATCTATCTATCTATCTATCTATCTATCTATCTATCTATCTATCTATCTATCTATCTATCTATCTATCTATCTATCTATCTATCTATCTATCTATCTATCTATCTATCTATCTATCTATCTATCTATCTATCTATCTATCTATCTATCTATCTATCTATCTATCTATCTATCTATCTATCTATCTATCTATCTATCTATCTATCTATCTATCTATCTATCTATCTATCTATCTATCTATCTATCTATCTATCTATCTATCTATCTATCTATCTATCTATCTATCTATCTATCTATCTATCTATCTATCTATCTATCTATCTATCTATCTATCTATATATCAACTTCTACGTCTGCTTGTCGTTCGATCTCTCTCGATCTCGCTACATCCTCTGTTTCTGTCTGTCTTTCTCTCTCTCTCTCTGTCTGTCCCGCTCTCTCTCTCTCTATCTCTCTATCTCTCTCTCTCTCTCTCTCTCTCTCGCTTCATCTATCTATATTGCAACTTGTACATCTCTCTGTTCTCCCCACCGCAACCCACTTGCCTCCACCTGTCTTCCTTGGCGTCTTCCTTGGCGTACGTACAGGGATCGGCCAAGATATCGGTGGGTTCTTGTTGCCGTCCCAAAACCAGCCAACAGAGATCGTTGTCGGCGAGTCTGACAAGGAAGTCTCGTTGGAGGACTTCGAACGGGCGCTCTTGAAGGGGGAGGTAAGAAAACAAACCCTTACCCCTATTTAGTCAGATATTTGTTGTTGTTGTTGTTGTTGTTGTTGTTGTTGTTGTTGTTGTTGTTGTTGTTGTTGTTGTTGTTGTTGTTGTTGTTGTTGTTGCTGTCTTTGTTGTTGCTGTTGTTGTTGTTGTTGTTGTTGTTGTTGTTGTTGTCGTTTAATGCTGTTGTTGGTGGTGGTTCTGCTGCTGTTGTTGTTGCTTTTGTTGTCGTGGTTTTGGTTGTTGTTCTTGGTGCCATGTCCGCGCTGCCGTTACTGCCGATGCATGCATTGCTGTGGACAACGTTGTTGTCGTTACCATCGTTGTTGTTGGCGTCCACCATGACTTTGGCTATGAAACCCTGCTCTCCCGCTATCCCCTGCACATATCCCTGTTCCGCACCAATCCAACCAGTGAGAGGAGGGAATTCCATTTTTTTTTTGTGGTCTTCACTTCATGGTCACAGGCTAAAAGTTAAACGTACAAGCGCCAAGCAAAACATGTCGCAAGGGCAGAGATGAAGCAGTCCGAAGAACAAGCGGAACGATGGCTGTCTTTTAACAGCGTGTACGTGTATGTGTGACTTGCTATTTGACGCCTGTTTTGTCTGTCCTCTATGTCCCATCCTCTACCCCTCCTCATTGGGCAGTGATATCGAAGGAGGGGCAGAATATGGAAAATGTTTTGAACCACCTTTGGCAAAGAAGGAAGGAACGATTGGGCATCGGTGATCAGTCCTGTGTGAACAAATCTCTGTCCTCTCGAGGACGCGTGGTCAATAGCCTAACAACTAAGGCATGCAAAACATAAGCACGCTCCCCGCCCTCCGCTCCATGGGCGTTTATTTCAGGTGGCAAGATGCGAGTTCTTCGGTCCGAATTTCGACAAGGCCATCATCGTGCTCAAGGATGGTACTAGAGTGAGTCAGGACGGAGCTCTTTAGTGGATGATATCTAATCATCTGTGGGTAACAAGGCCTACGGAGATCAATCGACGCTCCTGGCGAAGCCTAGATAGGACCCCGGAAAGTCGGTCTCTCGGCGGACCCCCGTACTATGCTTCGTTGGAGCTTAGTTTTTATTTTTTTTCGTCTTCACTTCAAATCAGCGCTCACAGCATTTGTGCCATTTACTCCAACCCGTGGTCACACAGAAGAGCCGTTCTCTACCCTCCCCTCCTGCGGTACTTTGCCTTCGATTTTATTGCGAGAAGAGTTCAGCACTCTCTTCCCTCTGTGTACACACGAACTAGCGTCATCCACTAGGCCAGGAGCGGAAGCGAGATAAAAACTCACTTTGCAACAAAAGCTCGCTTGCGCCGGGATTCGAACCCCTGACCTGACCCCTAGAAGGTTTCGAGGATGCCAAGTAGACCACCGGGGCGATGCGCTGGTACAAACAACGGTTCCTGGTTCATTGTAGAGCAGTTGTATTACAATCGAGCCTTCATCCCGCATTGCATCCGCGCAACCCCCCCCCCCGTGCGCAGGCTCCACACCCTGCAAATATCCCGCACCCCCGGCAACCCCGCCCACAGGCGCAACCACCCGCAATGATCCCGCCACCCCGTAGGCTCCAAAACCACAACCCGCAATCCCACTCACAGTTTCAAATTGTGCCGCCAGCCCCCCGCGCGCGCAGACTCTACACGCTACGCCCCCCGATTATCCCGCAACCCCACACGAAGAACCAATACCTCGCGATTGCCCCGCAATCCCGCGCAGGCTCTGATAGGCGAGGGGTACCCGCAGGAGAGGGCGTTCAGCGATGACAGCCCGATGAAGGTGGTGGGCCTGCTGAGGAATGCCGGCGTGCCCTTCACGACCGAGTTCCGTATGGCCAAGTACTCCAAGCCGAAGTCTTACAAGGTGTGTGTGCGTTCAACACAAGTGCCAGTCCTATGGTAGTGGAGAATGTAGAGGACAAGACAAACGCCACGTGCAGGTCGAAGGCGTTTGCCGTGGTATCTCCAGGCCTAGAGTCGCACAAGATGTGAGTGCGTTGGACACAAGTACTACCGTATATGACACAAGATACCACACCCCCTGGACCGATTTTCAAAGCTCAACAACTCTACGACGAAGAGGATGCATAAACGAAGCGATACGTTTTCGGAAAGCTCTCGACCAGACGGTTTCAACGCCGCCGTCTTCGGCACTGCGACTCTCTCTGCTGGTGATAAATCGAGCTTTGAAACTCGGTCCAGGGGGTGTGTTATCTTGCGTCGTATACAGTAGCCTTACGGTGGTGGATTTAATGTGTAGAACAAGAGAAACGCCACGTACATGCCGTATTCGTTTGCCGTGGCATCTCCAAGTCTAAGAGTCTTGCAAGATTAAGATGTGTGTTGGACAATATATATATATTTTTTGCTGTCACACGGTAGTTACTGTCTGCAACAGCAACAAGAGTTGTCCCGTTTGCCTCGCTTGTATTCGGCCGACCGGCCGTCTTGTGAAGTTATTTTTGTTCGTGCCTTTTTTACGTCTTCTGACGTAACCCGCGGCCTGTAGTGACCCCCCTCGCTGCCATCACAACCAGTAACAGTTACAATAACCCTTGTGCCGAATTGTTTGTAGATCGCCGTGTGCCCACGGCTTCCCCAATTGATATCTTTGTGTTTGCTTGTATTGTTGGTACATATCATTATATTACTGCGGTACTGTTATTGAACAATGACCCTCGTGTGCCGATTTGTTTAATGTGCTGACTGGCCGTCGTATGACGGTATTGTTGATGTCTTATTCTGACGGTGCCCCCCTCCCCCCGCCCTTGTGCACGTGTGCAAACTTGGCGGATGGCACCAACGATACCTACATACCTCCCCCGAACGGCAGAGCTCCGAAACTTTGGAGGCGGAAAATCGACAAAAGTCCGAAGACGCGACGCTGGACCGCTTGATGAGGGGCCCATAGATGATGAAGATAGGGGGGGGGGTACTCATAGTCGTGCATGCCGTAGTCGTTAGAACATTGCCCTCGCAGCCCTACAAAGCCGGAACGGAGCACGCCGGGTTTTCACAGGACCAGGCTCTCATATCACCAAGTGCGAAGCGCCGTGAGGTATTCGGGCGAGTGGCATGGGGGATGCGCTGCTTCTGCGTAGGGAGTTCAGAAGCTGCGGGGAGGCGCAGATTATACATTAGCTGCACCACGTCCCCACCAGCTTCTGTTGACGGGGGGGGGGGGGGG